TTCAGGTAAGGAAAGCACGTTTGCTCAAGCTGCAACAATATGTGACTGTTGGTAATAGAGTATAATACTTCATGAGGTAAGTGGAGTTAATATTGTACACTTATATTTACAGAAACTCCTGACAAGGTTCAAACTTGACAATTATTAGGTGACATACAGAGAAACCTACAGCATAACAACAGGGAAAATCACCTTGAAAAAAGGCAACCAATGGTAGCTCCGAATGACATCTTTTCAGAGTGCAAGAGAACTATGAACTAGGTATTATGAAAATGCCTTGGGTGTCACAGGCAAATTTCCTAAGCTTGAAAGAGAAAATCAAATCAGGATACAAGCTAAATAAGAAAACCGTGCAATGGAAAAATATAGATATTTAAAGAAATAATATGTTTCATATGTTTAATATGAAATATTAATATGTAAAATAATATGTAATTTAATACGTAAAATAATTTGTATGGCAGTGATGGACCAAAAGAGAGTGTGTACGAAATGGAATTTTGGTCCAGTGTGCTGTCAGGAAAGGTAGTTATACAGTACCAATTAATGAAATTAAAAATCCACTAAAGGGGAATGAGAGACTGAGCTGGTAACAAAGAGATACCGTATGAGTCTAAAGGGGTTGAAGTATTGTAATGTGAGGCACACAAAGTTGGTGGATATAATTTTAGGTAAACTTGTAATATAAATTTGCTTCATACCCTAGTTTCATGGAAATCCTCTAGAGTAAATTCCATGATTCTGGAGGTATTTTCCAGCAATTAGTTCAACGCTTTTGTGTCTCTATCAAAACACAAGGTTTTGAGGGATTTGGATACAGTGAGTCACAGTCCTTTTGGCTCTGCCTCTTAGATTTTTGCTAACAACAACAGCTTGTACTTGTGCAGTGTCGTTAATGTAGTAACATTTTTTAAGCCACATCATTTCAAATAAAATTTGGCACTGAACCACTTAAGGAACTATTCAGGCAAATAACCAAATATGAGAACAGAGAGTTTTTAAAGGAGAAAGGAAAGGTACAGAGATGGAAAGGTTTGAGAGGGGATTTCCAGAACTTGGGTCTTAAGCAGCTGAAGGCACAACCAACTGTGATAGTGATTAAAATTGGGGATTCTGAAAGACCAGAGTGGAGTAACACTAAATTTTGGAGAGTTATAGAGCTGGAGAAGATTGTAGAGATAGGAAGCGGTGAGACCATGGAAGAATTTGAAACAAAAATGGGAATTTTTAAACTTGAAATATTTCTTATCCAAAGGTCAGTGAGCACAGAGCTAATGCATCAGTAGGACTTGATTCAATTTAGACTATGGGCTGTAGAATTTTAGATGATTTCAAGTTTACAAAATGTCGTAAGTGGAAGACCAGCCAGGACTGCTTTAGAATCGTCAAGTATTGAGGTAACGAAAGACATGAATGAGAGTTTCAGCAGAAGATAAGTAGATGTAGCTTGGAGCCAAGCTGTACTACATAGGAGGAGCTAAGTAAACTTGTGATAGTATAGATATGTGGTTGGAAACTCGATTCAATATAACACACAACTACTTTTCCAGGTTGTAATTGTCTTGGGCACAATCGGTTGCTAGGGAGAGGAATAGAATTTGTTCAGAGACAATGACATTAGTCTTTTCAATATTTAGTTAGAGGAAATTCAAGCTAATCTGGGGGGCTTGGTGACTCCGTGGTTAGCACTGCTGCCTCACAGCGCCAGGGACCCAGGTTCAATTCCACCCGAGGACGATTGTCTATGTGGATGTTGCACATTCTCTCATGTCTGCATGGGTTTCCTCCCACAGTCCAGAGATATGCAGGATAGGTGGATTGGCCAAGCTAAATTGCCCATAGTATTAAAGATGTGTAGATTAGGTGTGTTACAGGGAAAAGAGGTAGAGGGATGGGTCTGGGTGGGATACTCTTTGGAGGATCAATGTAGACTTGTTGGGCCGAAGGGCCTGTTTCCACACTGTAGGAATTCTATGATCTAAAACTGCATGTCAGGCAGAAGTATGCCAAATTAGGGAAATGGCGGTATTAGAGAGAGGCGGTAGCGAGGTAAAACAGCACGTTGGCAGCATACATTTAGAAACTAATGCTGTTTTTAGATTATGTTGCCAAAAGATATCATGTAAATATGACATAAAGGGGGTCTCTACACCCAGCCCTTGGGCATGTTTCCACCAATTTGTTATGGTCCCAGATGGAATACATCAAACCTTTAAGCTCCTGGTGAGGAGGGATAAATTAACTTCCTTTGTTTATTCACTTGTTGGGTGGTTGCACAATATTAATTTAAAGGTTTATGAACACCTTTCTCTGAATGAACTTGCATTTTAAAATGAGCCAATTTTGCCAAGCTTTCTTCAGTTTATTAAATACTAAACATGAGAAGAATTTGTAATGGAACACAAGTATCCACAGACCAGAAATGAGGTGAGTCCAAAAGTCTTCATTAAAAAAATACAAATTAATCTATGTATTGAATTTGATGAGTTGATAGTTGAACATTGAGGCTGTTGCAGTGGATGTTTTAAAGAGTAGCATTGACATTGGTAGATTAGTGGTCAGTTTCAAAACTCGTCATTTTGCAGGTTGGTTGACATTCTGTTGATCTGATTCTTTTCAACTGTCACTTGAGTTCCAGCATTCGGGGTGAGAGAGCATGCTTTTCCTCTATTGTTTCCCTTAGTTTAGCTTACTAGCTAGCTGGTATTTGGCATTGGGATTAATTAAGTTCTTTTGGGCTTGAGGGCTGTTAATTTGGTCCAATCAGGGAACTCCTATTCTGTGAGGTCCACCTGGCTGACCTTGTTACAATCATTCCATATTAGCAAATATGGGATTGGGAAGTATAGTTGGGTGGTCAGCAGTGGGAACACTGTCAAGGAGATAGGAAGTGAGCCTCATCAACTTTACTTTGAGAGACATTGGTGACATTGTGGTAATGTGACTGGACTGGTATTCTAGGGCACAGGCTAATGTTCCGATAACAAGGTTCCAATCCCACCGTTGTAGATAGTGAAATTTGAATTCAAAGAAAATCTGGAATTTCAAAAACTTATCTAATAACTGCCAGCTAGCCATTGTTGATTGTCCTAAAAGCCCATCTGGTTTAATAGTATCCTTTAGAAAGGAAATGTGCTGTCCTTACCTGGCCTTGCCTACATGAGATTCCAGATCCATAACAATGTGGTTAACCCTTATCTGTCCCCTGAAATGACTTTGCAAACTATTCAGATCAAGAACGATAAGGGATGGGCACCATATGCTGCCCTTGCCATGACACCCACATCCCATTGCCAGAATTAAAAAAGAAACTATGATGAAGAAATTCCAATCAATATCATATATGGGTTTTGGCAAAGTTTGTTCAGTTAGGCCAGTTTATTTCTGAGCACATGAGATCTTAAAGACCAGATCTTAAAACTACCCATAACTTTGAGAAATTGAAGCTAAAAGCCTTCTGTGCCAGTTGGGTTAGGGAAATACCAGCCATGTGTACGAAAGGATCTTGTTCTGAGATTGGGACGTAGGTACATTGTTGTGGCACAGTGGAGTAAGTTTTGCTTTGAATCACAATGTTGATTGAGAGTGCTTGAGGCTGAAGCTGAAAGCCAAAAGTAAGAAAGTGTTCCTTTCCACAGTTTTGCAACTCCCAAAATGAGCACAAAATTCATTCAAAGATCTCTCTTTAACATGAAACATGCTGACTATAAGTAGTTGAATTTTATATTTATGCTCTTTCATAAAAAGAAAAAAATGTATCATGCGTTTCTGTCACCGTACTCTGTCATGGGATGTGGGTGCCATTGGCAAAGTCGACATTTATTATCCACCTCACACTGTCCTTGAGAAATGATGATATTGCCATTCTGAACTCCTCTGTTATTTAGCAAATATGGGACCTTTCACAATCATAGGATATCCCAAAATATTTTGCAACTAATGAAGTACTTTTGAATGCAGCTACTGCTGTAATGTAGGAATAATAATTTTATTTATTTTATAATTATTGATGGTTCTGTGTAACCTGTTAAGAATGGTATGAGATTATCTTCGCTGTCTATTCCTTTCTTTCTGAAGTAATGGGTCACAGCTCGAAGCATCATTCAGCAGAGTGGTAAGTTTCATCATGTTTTTGCAGCAATTTACTATGCCACTGAGCACAATTATTGCTGCCGTTTGAATAATTAGTGTCTAACAAGGTTTATTGGTTGCTCGATCAAAAATTAATACCAATCTTTCTTGGAGATATTTTCCTTTCATATTGGAAGTGATTCTGAATATGCCTTGCTTTGTATCCTCCAGTTTTCAAATTCTGAATAAAGGGACTGCAGTCTTTGCAAGCTGTATTATAAATTGGGATCGTTCCTACCCAATAATGGACTCACAACAGTAAAAAGATGTTCTGATTACATTGAAATGGTGCCACTTGTTGCCAATAACATAAGTTTCAATTTGGAATGAGGCATTATTTCCACTCTATCAGTCCATAAGTTAAACCTCCAAATTTACTGAGTCTGAAAGATCAAAGTGTGGACCAAGCCCTGGACTTTTCCCACAACATAAGACTACCGTCTCTGAAAATGAGGAACAGCTGTCAACAGATACAATCTTGGACAAAAGTCGCTATGGATGCCTGCATCGAATAGAACTGAACAACAGGCGATCAAGGTCTAGCACAATGAAGGAAGATATTCCTCCTCCCCACAAGCAAAAGGAAAATCACCATTAACCATGCAGATCTTGTGGAACTGAGTTGACAGAGACCTGGGAGTACACCAGTCATGAAATAGGTGTGATGGGAAAAAGATCTTAAGATAAAAGAAAATAGCATGTTCAGAAAATACATGTTTTGCAAAATGAGAGGGAGATTTAATCTCTTCACTTAATTTTCAATAGCATTTGTTCTGTGAACAGAAAACTGGGTTCACTTTCTCTTAGTTGTGGTGTTATATCAAGTGCCTGCATGATATGACCCACTCTCTTCCTTTTGTTTCAAACAGAGTTACTTCTATAATGATGACCTCTTCAACTTCAACTATGCACAGGCAAAAGCAGCTGTTGGCAACTTCAAGGAGGCTGAGGAGGTAAGTCATACAGGAATTTGAGCTGCAACCTTGCTTTGTAATTTAGGTTGCAACTTTAGAGTTGCTTGGATCTCTTTGGGAAGATGAATGTAATACAAATATTTTAAACCCACACTAAACTGCATTTAGCAATAATCACGCTATTAACAAGGAAAAATAAAAGGGCTTCCCTGTGATTCATTTGGTTCAGGGCATATATAACTGATCAGTACAAACTAAATTTAGCTTTAATGATTCTTTGATATCAATGGGACACCTTCCTTCCATCACCATTGATTGGTAACCCCCACCAACGACAAAAAAACTTTGAAGCAACTGGATAAGCAAGAGGAATATGACTTTGGACTAGCCTATGAGCTCCAACATAAATTGTAGGAACCTGAGAAGCTACAGTGCAGTTATCACTGCTTCCTGAGATTTAAAGGCGAGTCTGAAAAGAGTGATTCTTATTGCTTTCTCTACAAGCAGGGCAATTACTGTATTTGGGGAGGTTGCTTAAAAACTAGTCCTGTTCCGCAGATCCTAGTGTAGTTCATAAGAGTTATGTTTTTTTTCATAAAAACTTAAAGAAAAATTCTCCTGAATATATTCCTTTTCAAAAAATCGGCAGAAAATTACAATTCAGATGGAGGGAAAGCTTTCCATTGGTTGGTGTAATACCAAATGCAAAAAAAAAATTACCGTTGGGAGTCTTCATCTCAGTTTCAGGATTTCGGTGCCAGGGATTCTTAGGCTGTCGGATCATCTTAAAAGCCCATTTGCTAATTTAATCCTGCCTTTACAAAATGCTAACCATAGTGTCTTTCGATTGAGACATGACATGACATCGAACCCCACAGAGTGGAAACAGGCCTTTCAGCCCTACATGTCCACACCGATCCTCCGAAGAGCATCCCATCCAAATCCATTCCCCTAAACCTTCATTTCCCATAGCTAATGCACCTAACCTACACATCCCTGAACACTGTGGGCAATTTAGCATGGCCAGTAGACCTAACCTGCACATCTTTGGACTGTGGGAGGAAACACGAGCACCCAGAGGAAACCCACACAGACACTGGGAGAACGTGCAAACTCCACACACAGTTGACATTGAATTCTTGGTGTATTGGTTAATTGAGTCCTGCATCTCTGCTTCAGCCACTCTTGCTGGCAAACACATTCCAGCTGTTGATCAAGATTTTTTAAAAGATTGCTTCCCAGCATTGATATATATCACCAGAGCTTTGAACTTCAGTACAGACATAAGAAAGGATAATCATCAAAATGACTGTCCCTAAAATACCCTACCCTGTTTTACTTTCCCCTGATTTGTATGCAAGGGGAGCTGATCAGAGTGCTTGGGACTTCAACTCCACTGTCATATACTCAAAGCAGTAAACTCAGTCCTATTTGTTCTCCTTCCTCGTTGATTTTCCCTGTTTAAACTCTGTCTAGGCTTGGAGATTTTGAATTAGGCTGCCTGAATGGTAAAATCCTAACTCAAGAACACTAAATTCTGTCACAGTTATCAACTTGAGGTGGTAGTGAAAACAGGGATTTAAACTAGGTTCCCCCCTTTGAGGCAGAAGTTTGGATTCCCTTGTCTTGTGTTCATTCTGTGTACCGTGAAGAGAATGGCTGATTCTCACTAATTTTCTGCTTCTCTTGAAGGCATTGATTACTAATCTTAAACGAACCCTGGCATCAATTTGCATTGACATAGTGTCTTTAAAGTGGTAAAATATTCTCAGGCAGGGGTATAAATCACTGCAACTAGCACTGAGCCAGATAAGGACATGTTAGGGCAGGTGAACAAAATTTTTGCAAAACAGCCACCATCATCAATTAACAAAATTGGCGACTAGTATTTATATAGCACCTTTAATATTATAAAATACCCTGAGGTATTTCACAGGAACATTATAAAGTGAAACTGAGCCACATAGGCAAAATTGGAACAGATGACAAAATGCTTGCGGGTATAAGTCTTAAGCGTGTCTTAAAGGAGGAAGGAGGAGTAAAAAGGTTTGGAGGGTGAAAGCCTATTATTTTGAGCCTAGGCAGCTGGAGACATGGCTTCCAGTGCTGGACAATTAATATTCAAATGGCCAGCATCAGAAGAGCACACATATCTTGTTGGGTTGTCGGCTGAGCACATTACAGAGATGGGGAGGGACATGGCCAAGGAAAACCAGAATGAAAATTTTTAAGAACTGCTTAACAGGGAAGCAATGTAGGCAAATGAGCTCAGGATTTCTAAATTGGTATGTCTATCCCTTGCCTGTCTTACCAATGTATCTCTAAATTATATCCAATGCTGTATGCTTTGTTATAAATTGAATGTTTCTATAAATTTCCATTTAAAGTACATTTGAATACTGAACAGTGCAGTGCAAACAACTGATTGAACTGTCATGCAGCGCGCAAGGCTCCTGATATCAATGTGATAACAGCTGTATCTGAATAGCTGGAACCGGTATGGCTTGACTTTGCTGATATTGTGTTGGATCAGATCTTCTGATGGTGTATAACCAGCTGAATTTCAGAAGTGCATCTGGTTTATTTGTTAATTGTTAGGAAAATTTGAGTGACTACTCTGCCCTGTCTGAGACCAGATCAGTCTAGTAGTGCAGAACACAAACAGATACGTGGTCCTTTTAAGTATCTACTACTGGAAAATCTCCTGCAGCTTACCTTAACATGCACATTTGGAGAGAAATATTTTGTTGAAGACTTCTGATGTGGCTATAGATTGTTTTTGTCTGTCAACAAGACGCTGGAAGGTTGTGATGGATAGAAGATTGAAAAGGTACAATAGTATTTGAAGAATTGAGTCAAGGTGGCAATTGTGTGGAAGCCTGATTGGAAAAGCTGTTCAGCACCCTTCACTCTGAGTCTGTCCCAGTATTCAATTAGATCATAGCTGATCTATAACTTTACTTCATTTACCCACCTTGGTTCCTTACTCCTTCAATATTGTTGACGGTGTCTTCACTGGCTATACCAATTGTGTTCTTAGTGCATGAGCAATGATATAGGTCTGGATTTTTTTTAACATGTGCTGTAGAATTTCTGGAAATGCCTCTTGCATGCAATTATAAAATATTTAGCTGCATGAATAAACAAACTGCACAGTTCATATCAGCTTTATTGTAAATTCCTTTAGCTATGTGAAACATTTGGGAGTTTCTGTTTACTGATTTGGTATCTCATCAATTGGGTATTAAGACTTCTGTTCACCTAGAATTTAATATTTACAAGCTGGAACTTGCTTCCACAGCATCGTAGTGAATTGTCTGTTCAGTACATTCAGTCTTACTTGATCAAATGTTGTCTTATTAGTTGGAAGATTAATTGTCGTCACAGCCCAACTGCATTCTTCAATACAAATTTAAAAATGGCAACACACGCAGCAATCGAGACTTGAATATTGATCCCCTATCTTTGAAGGCTGTTTTAACAGCATTCCTGTAAGCACATTTCTAGACGTGACACTTGGAAAATGAAGTTTATCTTTTAGCAGATCTTTCCTTAGCCCCCACCATCATACTTTGGTTTGATCACAATCTTAGTGTCAGTCTAATCTGTCTTATTCTTGTTCCTGCTAACTTTAATTAGATCTTGCTGCAGACTTCTCCTCCTCTTCTCTCTGATGAAATCATGACTTGTTGTTCGGGTTTCCTTTCTTACCTCTTTTTTTTCCTTCAAGGCCTGAAAACTCTACAGTTGCCCTCTGCTGTGGCTCTCGCAATATACCAGTTTTTAAACCCGAAGTTCAATCTTTTCTATCACTGTTACCAATTAACTTTGTTTTCTGCCTGCCTTTTGAACCTTATTGATGTTTGCATTGTGGACTTTGAGCCTCGGTCTGTGATCCTTAAATTTTAAATTGCTATTGGCAGTGATCACTTATCGAACAGCACCAAAAGGAGTCCTGATTTCAAATAAACTCCTTACCAATGCTTAATAAATTAATGTAATAGAATACTGCAGACTTCAATCAATACATCTTCCTTACAGAGACTTGTAGATTCACATTCAATTCTTTGTTTAATTAGAGTGCACACATTCAAATTGAACAATCACTTTTTCATGGTGTTTTGTTCTTGCTGAACTGAGGAAACTATAGGTTGCTTTTGACCTTGGGTATCTAGCTGGAGAAGTTAGGGTTTTGTTTCCCTTTTTATTTTCTCACTTTGAGTCAGTTTATGTAATTGTTTGCTTTAACATTTTACTTAGCTGGTATTCTTCATTGTGAGAATTAGATTTTTTGACCGTGGAGCAAATCACAATTGGACTCTGATGTTCACACATGTGCTTTCCAGAAAGAATCATTAGATAACAATTGGATGTTCTAACAGTTATTGTTCCCGCTGCTCCTTAGATGGGCACATTGAGTCCAAGTGTACCCCTACTGCATTATATGACTCAACACCGGTCACCCCCTGAACCTGGAACCTTGCTGTTGTGCATGGCTTGATATGCAGAATTCACTAATGTGGCATTTCTGCTGTCTAAACTTTGTACTTCTTTAAAATTACTAAACAGGTTTTTCAACTGATTCAGAGTGAGAAGCTGAAGAATGACTACATTTACCTCAGCTGGCTGGCCCGTTGCTGTAAGTTAAACAGAGCTCCATGACCACAAAAACAAAATCTTGTACATGTTGGAATCCTGAAATGAAAACAGAAAAATGCTGGAAATACCTAGCAGTTCTGGCAGCATCTGTGGAGATAAACAGAATTAACATATCAGATTGATTAGTGATGAAGGGTCACTGATCTGAAATGTTAACTGTTTCTCTCCACAGATACTTCCTGACCTACTGAGTATTTACTATTTTTTTTGTCTTTTTTTTTGAAGCTCCACAACTGAAAAGTGCAGTCATTTTGAAAAATCACATTGCCTTCATTTGTCTCCAGTGTCGGTTACTTTTGCTTTCATTTGTCAATAGTGAGCTTTTATTTGGTCAGTTCTTGACTAAGCCAAAACTAAAACTTGCTCAATATTAACAGGCGTCCTGGCATACAAAACAATATAGCCTTGGTACATGTCTATGCAGGTTGATCTGTCGTTGAGCATCCTTTTAACGTTGTTTATATCCTTTAATCTTGTTAAGAATGTAGATGTCTGCAGGGATCCAGTTGATATCCCAGAAGATGCTTTATTGCTGTGCTATTTTATGCTAGTCTTATGAAGCAGTGTTAGTATTCCAGCATGGTGCACACAGGGGGTCCTTGATTTCTGAAAGTCAGACTTGCGGCTTACAAATGTGACTCCGTACAGGGATATAATTTTAAATATCTGATGTATGAACATTTCCCATACTCACAAATAGCTGCTTTATATTATCCTGCATTGTGTTCTGACTTGCATACAAATTAACTTGCAACTGGACTTTGGAATGGAATCTGTTTGCAACCCACAGGCTGACTGTAGTCAAGTGGTACAATGTGCCTCCAGCTCATAGCACACACTCAGTGGGGACTTCTAGGGAATGATTCCATCACGAGCAGGAGGCTGAATGTTGTGTTTTTTTTTAAATTTCCTCTCTTCCCGAGTCAAGAGAAGCCTATGGTGAATTGGAGGTCTCAAAATACCCTTACCTACCTTCATTTTGACCTCTCTACTCTCTGTGATTCAGCAGGCTCAGTACAAGCAAGAAGCTTGAGACATTTTTCCATTGTAGGGGAAAGTTGCTCATCAAATGCCCCAACCCGCTCATTGGTGCCTTCAGTGATAGGGTAATAGCAATTACTCCCAGCATGTTCCATACTCACAAGCAGGTTGAAAATTGCCTTCTAACTGGCGCTTTTCTGCATCCTCTCAATCACCCCTTCAGTTTTGTGAGCATGGTGCAGGGGTCAGAGAGGAGCTCCTTGCTTTCCTCTTGAACTCTTTCTTATAAATTGTCAAAACATGAATGATTCAAAGGGATGGGAGAAGAAGACTGAATAAATAGCAGTCTCACAGGGCTAGGAATGGCACGATGGACTGATTATCACCTCTGCAGTACAGAAAGTGCTGTGATCTTAGATTAGGGCCATATTGTGAAACGTTGGCCAGAGTTTGAAGAAGGTGTCAAATAACAATGGCTGACTAAATAGGTCTAAGAAAATTGATCTCTTGTTCCTCTTTGCATTTATGCTTTAAATCTGAATACAGCCAAGATCAGTGGGACGAAATTCTTTGTCACATGAGGATTGTCTTGCTTATGCAGTAAATTTTATGTTCCATTCCTTGCTTTCCCATTTTTCTTGTTTGTTTAAAGTCCTGGTGCTGGGTGCATTTCAAAAGTTGCTGCTACTGTTTTTCCACCTTCACAGATATCATGAACAAGAAGCCCCGTCTGGCATGGGAACTTTATCTGAAGATGGAGACATCGGGAGAATCCTTCAGCCTGTTGCAGCTCTTGGCCAATGACTGCTACAAGGTAAGAGTGACAGGCTTAAGGAACAATTTATGCTTAATGGATTCCTGTAACTGCAATAAGCAGCTCAAATTTACTTTTGCCAGGCTTCCAGAGTCTCGATATTTGCTTGGGTTTGCCCTACTCTTATAGATATGTTATCAATCTACAGACACACATGCACACTTGATCTTGACGTCTCTTTGCACTGCACCTATCCAACTAAATAAAGTTCACATTCAATCTGCACTAATGCTGTTCACATCAGTTTGAAGCAATGTCCCCTTCCCTGTAAGACCTGGTACTTCTAGAATGTCCAAAAGATAGCCACGCATGCCATTATTGCCTGTAACTAACCAGCCCTTGATGTGACCTGTGACACTTCTGCACTGCCAGAGAGCCAACAACAGTAGAAGGAAACTTGTGAATGTGTACCCAGCTCTGTCCTGTATTGACCTGGGTGAGAGACTAGAAGGATCAGCAATTTTCTCCCATTCAGAAACGATCTGCAGAATCGGATGCAGTTTGGATGATGTACCTATACTGGACAACACAAGCACAATCTCCCATGCTCCTCTGAAGCTCCCTCATTGCCAGTCATTAAGCTACTCACCTTCTTGTAACTGTAGTCCTGCCTCACCAGCTACAATCAGGCATCTGTTGAGGTGCCCTGCAAATTCTAGAAACTACCTCCACCATGGGCAGCAGGATTGAAAGAATTGGGACCCTGCCACTCTTGAGGGTATTGGACCTTCTGTGGAAATGTGAAAGAGTGATGTTAGTCACCCCCTATGCCTGTTCAGCTTGTATGCTACCTGCTTGTAGCTGCTGCTTTGCAAGGATCATCAGTACCAAGCTTATACCCCTTGACAAAACTGCTATTCCTATTCAATGGAAGACTGCAGCCTCAGCCCATTTCTAACTATGTGGTGAGCTCTCCCACGCCAGCAGCAATATTCTCTCTCATCTTTCTAGTTGCTGTCTTTGGGGAATTGAGGGGTGGTACTTGCCCATGTTGAATGGAGAAAGTCATTGATGTACTTGTAGCAGCGTTACCACTTTCTCTAATGATTGCAAATTTGTTGACCTTCTCTGTCCCCACTGTTCGTCTTTCCTTGGTTAGGCAGAGAGGTCTTCTGCTGCCCTTGGGGAAGAGGACCTCCTGTCTTACCTATGTAGCCTGGAGTAGCACATGGATGCTCATCACTGAATCATGAGGCCACCCAAGATCTTTTTACCGCTGTGCCAATAAGAACATCTTTCTGCCGAAGTTCTACATCCTGCTGGACTGAAGAGTCACAGACTTCTTGTTGGGTTGAAGGATGCAGCATATGTGACATGAGGCTGTATATTGGTGCCTTTAAATATGGAACCAACATATCTGACTCTATCAACTGACACCAAAAGACCATAAAATATAGGAACAGAATTAGGCCTTTCAGCCCTTGGAATCTGCTTCACCATTCAATCATAGCTAATACGTTTCTCAACCCCATTCTCCTGCCTAGGTAGTGGTCGTGGGTTTGGAAGGTGCTGTTGGTCGTGTCTTGGTGAATTTCTGCGGTGCATCTGCCTATTGGTTTACAATGCTGCCGCAGTGCTTCAGTAGTGGAGATGGTGAATAATTGAGGATGTATCGCTAATCAGATGGACTGCCCTGTCTTGAATGATGTCAAGCTTCTTGAATGTTGTTGATAAGTTTCTGGACAATGGAAACCCTAGAATGTTGATGGGAGAGGATCCAGAAAGGCAAGGCCATTGAATTTCAAAGGGTGATGGTCAGATCATCTCTTGTTGGAGATGCTCTTTGCCTGACACTTAAGTGATGCAAATGTTTCTTGCCACTTGATAGCCAGAGCCTCAATATTTTGCAAGTCTTTGCTGTATTTGGACCTGGACTGCTTTAGAATCTGAGGAGTCATAATTAGTGATGAACATTGCGCAGTCATCAGTGAACATCCCCACTTCTTACCTTACGGAGAGAACATCATTGCTGAAACAGCAGAAGATGGTTGGGCCTAGGACATTAATCTGAGGAACTTCTGCAGAGATGTCTTGGAACTGAGATGAGTGATCTTCAACTGCCACAACTGTATTCCTTTGTGCTAGATATGACTCCAAACAGTAGAGACGTTTCTGTTGACTCTGTGTTTGCTATGTACGCATGCACACACCACACCCACCCAAATCAGGACCAAGGTTGTAGCCAATCACACGTGGTACTTGATACAACTGCAGAAGGGGATTTCCATCACTTTGCTCATGACCAAGAGTGAGTTGATGGGGTGGTAACAGGCTGGATCTGTCCAGCTTTTAGTATATATGACATTTCCACATTGTTGGATAGATGCTAGTGTTGAAGCTATACTGGAAAACCCTTGGCTATGAATATGGCAAGTTCTGGAACACACTTCTCAAGCATTGAGATATCCAATGCCTTCAGCTGTTACTTGATATCCTGTGGAGTGAATTGAATTAGCTGGAGACTACTCCCTGTGATAATGGAAACCTCCTGAGGAAGCTGAGATGGATTGTTTCACTTGGGACTGCCAGCTGGCAATTGTGACAAATGCTTCAGCCTTATCTTTTGCACTGATGTGCTAGGCTCCCTCATTATTGAAGGTGGGAATATTTGTGGAGCCACCTCCTCCAATGAGTTGTTTAATTGTCTATTATGGTTCATAGCTTGATGTGGCAGGGCTGCAGTGCTGATCCATTGGTTGTGGAATGGCTTAGCCCTGTTTATCACCTGCTGCTTATGCCATTTGCTCCCTCTTGTTGCAAGACTCTCTTTACACAACCAACATTGCCATCAGTTAACGCTACTCCATTTTATTTATGAAAGGTTATTTAAATTTAGCTCATTCTTGGTGCACATTTCAATACAATGAGGACACTGTGGGTCCCAACACCCAGCACAACACAGCCTTGATACTGGGAACATGGCCAACAGCAATACTGACTGAATTTCCTGTTCCTGGTGTTGGCTTTCATTGACCAGGGAAGTAAACTGGAATAGTTGGAATTGCAGCCACATACAGGATATTAGACTGGGTGAACACTGGTTTGGTGTATAAAAACTGGCAGAAACGTGTGGGCCAAATAGCTTATTTCTGTACTGTGGGTCCCATGCAGATTCTCTTGCCTTTACCATTTTTATTTAAATTTCAGTCCTGACACATTTAGTGAAGGAGACAGGCTTCAAAAATAAATATATGCTGTTAAATCAAATGAAAACTGGTGAATTCCACAGACTTCAGCTTTAGTATCTTTTTCTTTTCAGATGGGACAGTTCTACTATGCTGCAAAAGCTTTTGATGTGCTTGAGCGGCTGGATCCAAATCCGGAGTACTGGGAAGGAAAACGTGGAGCATGTGTTGGGATTTTTCAAATGATTTTAGCGGGTCGAGAACCAAAGTGAGTATCTCCAGGATACTGGTTGTATCTCTGGCATACAAGATTCATTTCAAACACTTGAGTATTTGTGTGTTAGAAACTAACAAAGGTATATGAACTGTTACGCATTTTATAGGAGAAAACCTGCCAGTAAGTAGTGGTTGACAGGTTTGTAAAACTTAGGCTGATCACATGATGTCAGTTGTCCATTTTAAAAGTGGGTGGTTATGATGATTGTGAAATCCTCCAGTATGCTTTAAATTCTTGCTGCCTGTCAGGTTATTATACAGTCATACAGCACAGGAATTCATTTGGTGTATTGTGTCTGTACTAGCTCTTTGAAAGAGCTATCCAATTACTCTGACTCTTTAGGCATGTTCCTGCAAAATTCTTTATAAAGTATACATCCAATGTCTCTTTGAAAGTTATTATTGGGTGTGCTTCCACCTACTTTTCAAGTAATCCATTGGATTGAAATATTCCTTTATTTTTTCAGGCCCCTCCTTTTGTTGATCTCTTCACTGTTCCTCCCAAAATGCATCACACAGGACTTCTCTAGATTGTATTTGACCGGTCATATATTCGCCCATTTCGTAAGTTTTTGTCCTCCTGAAGTTTGCTATTATCCTGCTCATTGTCCCAATCTTTGCTGAGACTTCAGTGAAATACTGAGGGAGTGCTGTATTATTAGAGTTGCTATCTTTCAGATGAAAAGTTGAACCAAGATCTCATCTACTTGCTGTATGAATGTAAAATATCCTCATGCATTCTTTTGGCCTTCCTTTTTCCCTTTTCAGCTCCCCTCTGTACTTTTTGTATTCTGCTTGATTCTTGACACTAATGAATCTGATATTTATCATGAGCTTCCTTTTTGAATTTTTAATTTTCACCCTGATTTCTTTAGTCATCTATGAAATTATAGCTTTGATGTCATTCCTTTCCCACTATTAGGATGTAGCTAGTTTAGGCACCACCTCCGTTTTCATGCCTCCCATTGCTCAACTGTGTGGCTTTTTAAGTAATGGTCTTTTAAAGTCGTTGCCAATGATAATATCTGGTTTGGTGACTTCTCACAGTTTCGAGCAGTTTTTGATGCAACTGAGTTAATAACAGTAAGTGGTTTGTTGCTGTCATGCTACAACATGGCAGGCCTACCTCTGCCATAAACAGAACCAGGGTTACACATCTGGGAGGAGTCCAGTAGTGATCATTCTAATTATCGTCTTTAAAACTGAAGAAGAATCAAAATGAACTCAAAATGTTAACTCTGTTTCTCCTTCCTCATATAATGTCAGGCCTGCTGAGTTTCTCCAGCACTTTTGTCCTTTTATTACAGTAGATCCGATCTGTTCAGAAGTGAGCAGTTTGAAAAAAAAAGTCTCTCAAAATCAAGTTCCTAATGGACAAAGATGAAAAATATTACGTTGACTCTTGGTAACTCATCTCCATCATGCATTCACTCTATCACTTGCCAGACAGATTGTTCCACACACATATTCTCTTTTATTTGAATGTGCTCCATCTGGTAACTAATCTAGGTCTCCTTGGCACTACTTTATACTCTGACCTTCCTGTGAATTAGATGAGAGTTAAGGGTAGAACAGATGGTGGGTGAATCTCTTTCTTATAGCAGTTATTCCGCTGCAACTTGTTTGCCTGGGGCAGGGAATGTAGGCAATGTTGTCATGCCATCAGTACACCAGAGTTGTGGTTTAGTACATTTATTGTGTTCTTCAAACCACCAATGGCTGGGTAAGGAATTCTCTGTGTTTTTCTCTGTTTTTGTTTTTCTGTCTCTCAGGGCATTACATGACATTGGGAGCTGATAGCTGGGACAGAGATGTACAGAGTAAGAAGTGCTTAATTATGATGCCAGAGCTATCATGAGTTTGTATCAGGCATGATGGAGCCATCATTTTTGAATATGTTTGAAGTGGAATTTTCTGGCAACAAATATCACCCAACAGACCTCAGTGCTAGCCCATCTGTTTGGCTGAATGAGTTTCTCTGGGAGATGTAACTCGTTCCTGCATTAGCTTTTCTTGCTGATTCCTGCTCAGGAAAGCTTGGATCAGGCAGTAACTGGAGTGGGAGTTTAGTTTGCAGGCCCTTCCACTCTGACACTAAACCATTTCATAATTGACCATCTGTGTTCTGTTTGTGATAGCTAAACTACTGAATGTCTGGCTGGAGATCTAACTGTAAGTTCCTTCCCATGATTCTTTCCCAGCAGTAGTTTTTTTTTGCTATACTCCTTGAAGTTTGACACAGGCATCAGCTAAACACCAAACACCTCTCATTCTGTCCAAACGAAGAGATGGCAAACTAGGTCCAACTAAAGCTAACTTTCTTTTAACCTCCCAGCAGCAATTATAGAGCAAGAGTGGTGTGGCGGCAGATTGTCTGCATGAACATTCACCTCTGGTATGAGGACCTGTTGAGAAAGCTGCAGCAAGGAAGTAAAGTGCAAAGTAACACCAGATTTATTGTAGCGTACTGGACAGCTTAGTCAATTGAGTGACAGAGCCATTTAAACGTAGTAATATCAGGGTCAATCTCTTGGGTTGAGCAATTTCAGTTACATGGGAATACCGGAGAAGATCTTGTGATAAAGGAAGTCAAGGAGAGATTTAATAGTTGTTTGAAATTATGAGGAGTTTTGAGCAGGAAAGTCAGAATGAAAGGTAAGAGATCTAAAATAGTTGGTGAAAGGACCAGAGGGAAAATGAGATTTTATTTTTTAAAATACAGCAACTTGTTAAAATTTGGAATGTTCTGTCAGAAGGCTGAGGTAGCAGAATCTGTGGTAACTTCTTTTAAAAAAAAAGTGAAAAGGAAATTTTACAGAACTATGGGGATAAAGCTAATTAGATAGCTCTTTTAAAGGGCCATCAACAAACACGCTGGGTTGAAAGACTATAACACAGATGAAGTCAATGGTTTAACATTTTGTGTTGATGTAGTTGGTTTCACTCAAGGTAGCAATAGGCCACTGCAATTGATTTCAGGATTTCAGGCTGGTGTGAGGGAGGTGGGCAATCATCCAGACTGTCACTCTGGAACACTATCTGACTTCTTATGAATTAAATGTAGGTCTGGCTACCATGTCAGCAGAAACAAAAGTGGCAAGGCATCAGGCAAAGAGGGAGTAGAGAAACACTGCAGACTTTTTCAGAATAATATCAATGATATCACGAAGGCAGCTGTTTTCTGGGGCATTAGCCCCCTCTCCGATTTAATATATGAAGAAGTTTAAAGAATTTTGAAAGTAGATTCTTGAGAATGTTATCCAGGACGCAGTACCTTAGACTGAGCACCAAGCGCAAGACCATAACAGCCTTGCTGAGGTGTATGCATCGAAGTACCAGTGGCGAAACCTGTATTGTTTTGGTGATTGAGTTCATTTACAAAAGAATGTAGAAGTCCGACAAAGTATGAGGCACAGGCAACTGTTCTCGGTCTTGCCCTAAAAATTGCCTTGTCAATTGGAACAATTGTTAGAAAGTATAAAAAAAAAACTGGATTGACCAGCTGGTATTGGCAGAAATAACAATAGTCCTGTCAACTCTGCAAAGTCCTCCTTAGTAATATTGGGGGTTTGTGCTAAAATTGGAAAAGCTGTTTCACCGATTAATCAAGCAATAGACTCATTGTCTGTAAGGTATAACTTCATGAGTGTGATTGTTTCCCAGACACTACCATCATCCCTGCTTATGTCCTGTCCCAGTGGCAGGACAGACCCAGCAAAAGTGATGGCACAGTGGTATAAAGTCAGGAAGGAGTGGCACTAGCAGTCCTTATCAATGATGCCTGACCACATGAGGTCTCATGGCATCAGGTCAAACATGAATAAGTAAACATCCTGCTGATTACCATGTTCCGTCACCCATAGGCTGATGAATCGATACACGTCCATGTTGAACAGCATCTGGAGAAAGCACTGAGGGTAGCAAGAATGCAGATTATTCCCTAATTTGGGGATTTCAATGTCCACCTTCAAGAGTGGCTGAGTAGCAGCACTACTGAACAGACTTGTTGAGTTCAAAAGGAAATAGCTGCTATGCTGGATCTGTAACAGGTGGTGAGGGAACCAACAAGAGACATAAGCAAACTCGACATCATTCTCCCCAATCTTCCTGCCAGAGATAAATCTGTCCATGACAGTATCAGTAAGTGTGACCACTGCACAGTTCTTGTGGATGAAGTCCTGCCTTCACATTGAGAATTCCTTGCATCATGTTGATGGGCGCTATCACCATGCCAAATGGGATGGAATTCAAGCCAATCTTGCAATTCAAAACTGGGCATCCATGAGGCACCATGGGCCACCAGCAGCAGTGGAATTGTACTTCATCATAATCTGCAATTTAATGGCTGGTATATCCCCACACTACCATTACCATCAAACCTGGTTCAATGAAGAGTACAGGAGACCATGCCAGGAGCAGCACCAGGCATACCAAAAAATGAAGTGTCAATCTAGTGGAGCTATGAAACAGGACTCCACTACAGTGCAAAATAACAAAGGCAGCAAGTGATAGGCAGAGCTGAGTGATTTCACAATCAACAAATCAGATCCAAGTTCTGCAGTCCTACCACATCTAGTGTTGAATGGTACTGGACGATCAAACAGCTCACTGGAAGAGGAGGCTCCACAAATATCCCCAGCCTCAATGTTGGAAGATCCCAGCAGGCCAGTGCAAAAGATAAGGCTGAAGCACTCACAATAATCTTCAGCCAGAAGTCCTAGTGGATGCTTCATCCATGAGTCCCCAGCATAACAGGTGCCAATCTTTGGTCCATCAGTTTGTTCCATGTGATATCAAGAAACAGTTAAAGCCACTGAATACTGCAAAGGCTGTGGGCCTGACAACTTTCTGGCAATAGTACTGAAGAAGACACATGCCCCAGAACTAGCCACACTGCTAACCAAGCTGTTATATGACTGACAAATTCCCGACAATGTAGAAACCCATGTATATCCTGTATAGAAGAAGTAGAAAAAATCAAACCAGTCTTGTCTTGATCATCATTAAAGATCATCAACAGTGCAATGAAGCAACACTAGCTTAGCAATAATCTGCTCACTGATGCCCAGTTTGGGTTTTGCAAAGGCCACTCAACTCTTACCATCATTACAGCCTTGATTCAAACAACAGAGCAGAATTCCAGAGGTAAGAGTTGATATCAAAGCCAAATTTGACCATGTGTGGCATTGAGGAGTCCTAGTAAACCTAGAATCATAGAGTATAAATGATATCTGGTGAGCCAGTGAGAATCTGGGAAAATTCTTCACTGGTTGGATTCATACCTTGCACAAAGGAAGATGGTTGTGATTGTTGGAGGTTAGTCATGTCCATTCTAGGATATCTCTGTATGAGTTTTTCAAAATAGTGTCCTGGGCCAAAACACCTTCAGCTTCTTCGTTAAACATCAGCAAACATCCCCATAGCTGGTTATGGGGACTGTGCAATCATCAGCAAACATGTTCAGCACCATTTGCAATTTCTCAGATACTGAAGCAGTCCTTATCGAAAAGAGGCAAGATCTGGACAGTAATATCCAGGCTTGGGCTGAGAAGTGGCATATAACATTTGTGCCACACAAGTGAAAGGCAACGACGACTTCCAAGAGGAGAGAATCCAATCATCATCCCTTGACATTCGATGGTATTATCGTCACTGCTCCGCTATCAACGTCCTGGGGATTACCATTCACCAGGAGTTGAACTGGATGAGCCATATAAATACTATGGCTAACAGAGCAGGCCAGAGGCCGGGAATCCTGTAGAAGTAACACACCATGTGACTCCCAAAACATGTCCACCATCTGTAAGGCACAAATCCAGAGTGAGGTGGATACTCCCCATTTGTCTCGATAAGAATAACTCCAACAACCCTTTAATCTTGATACCATCCAAGAATAAGCAACTTATTTGATTGACACCACATCCAGAAATATCCCTCCGTCACCAGCGCTTAGTAGTTGCAGTGTGTACCATCTGCAAAATGTACCGCAGAAATTTACCAGAGCTTCTTAGGCAGCATCTTCCAAACCCTCAACCCCTTCCATTGGAAGGACAAGGATATCAGATACTTTGGAACACCACCACCTGCAATTTCCTATCCACCCTGACTTGGAAATATATCGCTATTCCTCCAGTATTGCTGGGTCATAGTCCTGGAACTCACTCCCTAACGGCATTGTAGGCTTGCCTTCAGCACATGAAGTGCAGTGCTTCAAGAAAGCAGAACAGCACCACCTTCTCAAGGGCCATTAGGGATGAGCAATAAATATACAATCATCAGTGCACACATCCCAAGAATTATTTTTCTAAATTAGATAAAGTCTATTTGGTCAAGGCACCAGCAGATTTCCATTTGTCACAACAGTTACAGCAGCAAGTTATATCTATTTAGCACTTTTACAATAATGAAATGTCCAAGGATGCCAGGGATATTTTAACGCAAAATTCAACATCAAACCAAATATGGTGATATTATAAGCTGGTAGCCAAAGGAGCATCTCTTTAAGGAAAAAAGAGAGGTGGAAGTTCATAGAGAAATTTCCAGAGCTAAGGGCCTAGGCACTTGTAGGCATGTGGGAGCGATTAAAACTGAGGACTGTCAAGAAGTCAGAATTAGACAACTATAGGTACTTTGGAGAGTTAGCCAGAGGACATCCCTGCCCACCACTGCAGTGGCTGAGAGATAAGCACAGAACACAGGGATGGCCTGTGTTCTTTTTAATGTCAGAAGTCACATGACACCAGGTTATAGTACAGCAGGTTTATTTGGAATCACACAAGCTTTCAAAACGCAGCCCCTTTGTCAAGTGCAGTGAGAGAGCAGGGCACACAGACAAAGAGTTTATAGGCAGAGAGATCAAAAGATCATACAACTGGTGTGAGAGGAGTGTCAGATGATAAGTCACTGCAGGTGACCAACACCGGCACCTCCACATCATGTTCTTTTTAATAACAGGTCCTAACTAAATTATTGTGCATCTTTACTAGGGACACCATGAGAGAAGTTCTCCATCTCCTTCGGAATACTGGGAATCCTCAGGTGGAATACATAATCCGAACCTTAAAGAAATGGGCCAAAGACAATCGGTTAGCTGTTTAAAGGCCCAGAGCAAAACGACCAAGAAATAGAGTGAGGGCCGGAAGGAAGTGCTGCCTTCTTAATGATGGACTCTGTTTCTCTCACTGTGTGAGTAGTTATTGCGCAGCCCCAACAAACAGCTCTCGGGATGTGCAATGATGCAGTGCAGTGCTCCATGGAAGATGCTTGCTGCTGTCTGATTGACTGCAGTCAAATGATCTGCCAAAATTAAAACTACGCATTTAACGCAGTTTCAATTCCCTTTGTTACTTTGCTGCCCTTGATGAATAAAGATTATATTGAGCGCTTCCATGTCTGCACTGTCAAATTATACTACTGCACACTGACCCCTATTGTTATATTTTTCTCTGCATCCACTTAGCTGAGCAGGTCACAGGGCAAAAGTGGCTTCATAAATTACAAAATCCCTTTAAATGTCTGTTACGGAAGCTATACTTTCCCCACTTCACGTGAGTATGCAATAGTCACACTCAAAGAAAATACCTGTAATTTCAAATGACTTGTTGTTCTCCTGTCCTGCAACTTTTATCAGAAAACTGCTCGCTGGTTTGTTTATTTGGTTGGGTTCAAGCTCACTACATGGTGAGCAAGTCTACAGATTAATAGCAAACATGCCATCAGAGCATTTGCCCCAGCAATGGTCCCACCATATGGATACCAGATACAGTTTACCCACATGTAGACTTCCTGCCAGGAGCAGTGCTAAGCAGCAGTGATAGTTTCTCTCCACTCCCCCCAGTCCAGAAGTAATAAAGTGTCAGGCATCCCACATGCTGTGGGCACAGACTTCCAGTAAGAGAGAAGCAGCAGAGGCTGGGCAGGGAGCAGGTTGACACTCAGAGCTGTGGAATAAGAAATGCAATGGGGGAGCAAAACAAGGCAAAACAGTCCAATTTGCTAACCAGTATCCTGCACTGGAGAGTGTGCACAGTTGTACCAGATGTGAATAGATCAGGCTCAACTGTGATGCCCCGCTCTCAGTGGAATAAGCTATAGAGACTCCGCATCAAGTTCATGTTTGTAAAGAACACCTATTTGCATGAGGTGCCTAGTCCTGTGCCCATGGGACCGAAATCTAACACCAGTCAGCAGCTCAGGGTGAACCTTTTCACATAAAAATTGTTCAATACAATGTTTACTGGTTAATATCAATGTGCAGTTTGGTTATTGGTATTCTGTATCCATGTCTGTTTTTGCATAATTCTTATATATTTAGTATACTTGTAAATTATTTTGTGTAAATAAAGCATTTATTTGCAACACACTCCTTTTGCTAAACATGGGTATGTTTCATTTTGAGTGAATCTGCTCCTGCAGTTTGATCCCAGTGGGTTGGAGCAGCAGTTACTTTCCCCCTTTCCTACTACTCAGCTATCTCTCAATCTCTCTATTTCAAGTACAATTGATTAAATGTATTTACTCATCCATTGAAAGGAGATGTGGAATTTTTTTTTAGAAATGTACCTAATGAGGAAAGGCAGTTGCTCTGAGATGAAAGAAGCACCAGATATGTCTGAACAGTACTTTTCAGTTCAGTGTCAACTATATGCTTAATGGAACAGGAAAAGATGACAAGCAAGTGTTGATTTTGGAGGTCTGTGATCATAGTTACTTAATATAGACAGGCAACAATTTGTAGCAATTTTCAGCTAGTTTATTGAGTTTAAGTGGCAGTTTTGATATGATACATTAGTTAATTAGACTAAAAAAGTATACAACCTGACAGATTGGAAAGTTTCACCGATCTCGAAGCTGTTCTGTAGAATGGAAAAGCATGGGTGGCGATTTTGAAGTGGTGGAGCGTTCATCCCTGACGTCATGCAGTCTCTGGTGGTATCAGACTTTGTTCTTCTTTCTTGCTGATTTAAGAGACCTCCTGGTCTTCTCACAGGAAGAGGGTAGCTTGTTTCCCTCTTTGTCCTTTCCTACCCATCTCTGTTGAGATAAATGTTTTTAATCATCTGTTCGGATATGTTGTGACACATTGTAAATCAGTGACAGATGGAATTTAACTCTGAAACGCATGAGGTGATGCACTTTGGAACAAGACAAGGGAGTACTCATTGAATGGCAGGACAAAGGTGAAAAGGGAGGTTAAGGAGGATATTTGCTCTTATCAGTAGTGGTATAGAATATAACAGCAGGGAGGTTATGGTGGAGCCATACAAAACTTTGGTTATGATGTGGAGGTGCCAGTGTTGGATGAGGGTGGACAAAATCAGAAGTCACATGACACCAGGTTATGGTCCAACAGGTTTATTTGAACTCAAGCTTTCAGAGCGCTTCCCCTTCGTCAGGTGAAGTGGTGGAGAAGAGCGCACAGACACAGAGTTTATAGGCTGAGCGATCAAAAGATCATACCACTGGTGTGAGTGAAGTGTTGGATAAAAAGTCTCTGCAGATGACCAAGCATTTTAGAGTAAAGTGTCAACAGGTGAATAACCCGTGAAGGGATGACCTATATATGATTAAATGAGGCAGAGAGATAATTACAAAAAATATAAGCTGGTGCTGGAGACAAACTAAATGACTGAAATAATAGGTATACTAGTTGCATGCCGAGGGTCTAACCAAAGTAATAAGTAATTCAGGACTGTACAAACTAATTAAGGTAGAGAAAGATCATATTTTTTCAAGGTGATGGTGTCAAAACAGGAGAGTAAGGAAGATTTTACAGATACAGAATGGTGTGGTGGGGTCACATGTAGTGCAACATGAACCCAAGATCACAATTGAGGCCATCTTCATGGATACCGAGCTTGGCTATCAGTCTTTGCTTGGCAATTCTGCATTGTTGTGTAAGTCGAAGTCCACCTTTGCTTACCTGAAGATTGGAGGCTGACTGCCTTGACTGCTGAAGTGATTCCCCCACTGGGAGGGAACATTCCTGTCTGGCAATTGTTGCATGGTGTCCATTCATCCATTGTTGTAGCGTCTACGTGGTTTCGCCAATATACCATGCCTCGGGGCATCCTTGCCTACAGCGTATGAGATAATCAACATTGACTGAATCACATGAGTATCTGCTGTGTACATGGTGGGTGGTGTTCCCACGTGTGATGGTGGTATCCATGTCGATGATCTGACATGTCTTGCAGAGGTTACCATTGCAGTGTTGTGTGGTGTTGTGGCTAATGTTGTCCAGAAGACTGGGTAGTTTTCTGCAAACAATGGTCTGTTTAAGGTTTGACGGTTGTTTGAAGGTGATAAATGGAGGCTTAGGGAAGATCTTGGCAAGATGATCATCGTCATTGATGGCATGTTGACAGCTGCAAAGAACATTGCATGGTTTCTCTGCTCCGAGGAAGTACTGGATGACGAAGGGTGTTGTATCGGTCTTATCCTGTGTCTGTCTTCTGAGGAGGTTGTTGCAGTTTCTCGCTGTGGCACATCAGAACAGGCCATCAATGAGTTCAGCATCATATGCCATTCTTATGAGGGCGTCCTTCAAAAACCTTTTAGGTGTCCATCATGTTCCTCCTCATCTAAGCAGATCCTGTGTATGCACAGGGCTTGTCCGTAGAGGATTGCTTCTTTAATATATTTTAGGGTGGTAGCTGGAGAAGTGCAGCATCTTGAGGTTATCCGTGGGCTTGCGGTAGAGTGAGGTACTGAGGTGTCCATCCTTGATCAAGATGCATGTGTCCAAGAATAAGGCTGATTCTGAAGAGTAGTCCATAGGGAGTCTGATGGTAGGATGAAACTTGTTGATATCACTATGTAGTTGTTGCAGTGACTCATTGTCATGAATCCAAAGGAAGAAAATGTCATCAATGTATCTGGTGTATAGCGTTGGTCGGAGGTCCTGTGCCATGAAGAAGTCTCGCTTGAACTTGTACATGAAAATATTGGTATATTGGAGTGCAAATTTGGTCCCTAGGGCTGTTCCATGTGTCTGGATGAAGAACTGGTTGGTGAAGGTGATGACGTTGCGGTCGAGCATGAAGCGGATGAGTTGTAAGATGATGTCTGGAAATTGACAGTTGTTGGTATTGTGTACTGAGGCTGCTGCAGTGATGTCAACATCAAACCATTGTTCGCAGCAAACTACCTAGCCTCCAGGGCAACATCGACCACAACACCACACAACCCTGTCATGGTAATCTCTGCAAGACATGTCAGATCATCGATATGGATACTACCATCACACGTGGGAATACCACCAACCACGTACATAGCAGATACTCATAAGACTCAGCCAATGTTGTGTATCTCGTACACTGCAGATAAGGATGCCCCGAGGCATGGTACATAGGCGAAACCATGCAGATGCTACGACAATGGATGAATGGACACTGTGCAACAATTGCCAGAAAGCAATATTCCCTCTCAGTCGGGGAACATTTCAGTGGTCAAAGGTACTGAGCCTCCGATCTTCGGGTAAGCATCCTCCAAGGCAGACTTCGAGATACACAACAACACAGAATTGCTGAGCAGAAAGTGACAGCCAAGTTCCGTACCCATGAAGACGGCCCCAACCATGATCTTGGGTTCATGTCGTGCTCCAATGTGACCCCACCACACTGTTCTGTATCTGTAACATCTTCCTTACTGTTCTGTTTTGACACCATCACCTTGATAAATTGTTATGATCTCTCTACCTTAATTAATTTGTACAGTTTTGGATTATTTATTACTTTGGTTAGACCCTCGGCATGCGACTCGGACACCTATCATGTCATTTGAGTCATTTAGTTTGTCTCCAGCACCACCTTATTTTTAATTTTTGTAATTATCTCTCTGCCTCATTTAATTGGATTATAGGTTGTCCCTTCGCTGGTTATTCATCTGTTGTCACTTTACTCACCATCTAACACTCTTGATCACCTGCAGACACTTTTTATCTGACACTCCACTCACACCTGTTATATCACCTTTTGATCTCTCAGCCCTTGATGTCTCTGCCTATAAACTCTGTGTCTGTGTGCTCTTCTCTATCACTGCACTTGATGAAGGGGCTGCTCTCCAAAAACTTGTGATTTCAAACCTGTTGGACTATAACCTGGTGTTGTGTGACTTCAAAGTTTGGTTAGGCCACAGCTGCAGGACTGAATGTGGTTCTGGTTACCACACTAGGAAAGATGTGATTGCACTGAAGTGTCTACAGAGAAGATTCACCAGGATTTTCCTTGAGCTGGCACATTCTAACTATGTGAGGCTAGGTAGGCTGGAGTTGTTTTCTTTAGCGTAGAGAAAACTGAGGGCACGCCTGTTTGTGGTTTATAAGATTGAGGGGCATGGACAGGATATGAATAAGAAGCAGCTATTCCCCTTGATTAATGGGTCAGTAATGAGGTGGGCATCATTTTAAGGTGAAGGGCTTAAAATGCTTGCAGTCAGAGTGTATGGGAATCTGGAATGCACTGCTTTGGAGAGTAGTACCGGTGGGAAATCTCACCACCTTTTTGAAAAGTATGTGGATGAAAACTTAAAATGTTACAACATTCAAGACCGTGGGCCAAGTGTTGGAAAATGGGATAAATGTAGATAAATTGACTCCGATTTGAAGTGCCTCTTCTGTACTGTCTGACACCCTCCCCTCTGGAGTAGCTAGGACTTGAACCCAGGCCTTCTGGCTCAGAGTCAGGGATGCTATGCTGTTCAACCAAATCCTTCCCTGTTAATATACCTTATTTTGGGGGCTGGTCACCCATGTATGTCAATCACCTATCTAAACACACTCAGCTAATGACCATGGATAGCTACCAAATCAACGGATTACCATTGTCCCCTTGCCCACATCCATTTGAAGATTTAGTGTTCTTTCCTTCCAAATACTAAATCTTATTTTCAAAAACACAACACTCATAAGAGGGTACCATGATGCCCAATAATTTTTTTTATTTACACTTGCAAAAGGCAAGTTACTACTGTAACACAGTAGTACAGGATATTAAGTATGGAATACTAAGAAAATGCAATTTTAAAGTGGACTGCAATTTCCAAAAGTTCTCCCTTTGAGAAGGAAATATCCCCTAATTTATTGATTTAATATCATTTGCAGATAAAATGCGAAAGCTACTGGAACTGGTGATGTCAAGCTTTGAGTGGCCACTAAACCTAAGGTCAACATCCTATACCAAAGTTCTGACTTGCATTGTAAACCAAGTCAAAAAATGCTGTCTAGCTTTTGAATCCTTATTCCACTTCTTTGTTCAATCAGACCATTTTAACCAGATATTTTTTCAGGATACTGGTCCTACAGATCTGAGGTTTCAAACAAAGAAAGGTTTGGGTGGTCAAATTGGGAGACAGCCTTGAGTGCCT